TCGTGTTTCTACCAGCAGCCACGTCCCGTGCCATCCTGTGGACGCCCGCGCGCTCCGCCGGGGCGTAGCGCAGCTGTGGGATCCGCCGGTTGACCGCCTCCGTCATGAACCCTAAACCCTAAATCCTAAACCCTAATTACCCTAAACCCTAAACCCTAGGAACCCCGAGCCCCCCAAGCCCCTGACCTGCTTCCGGTCGTGGAGGCGGAATGGGCGCCGGCGCGGCAAACTCCTGCGCCACTTCGGCGATGTTTTGACACCGCCTTTTCGGTTTTGAGGGAGTTGAAGAGGGTTTGATATAGGGCCCGTAACAATTTAGAAGAGGGTTTTTGGTTTCTACGATCCTGGACTCCTGGAGCTACAATGCTACAATGAGGAACCCCAAAAAGAATAATTCCGCAGAGAACCCAAGATTCGGTCTCCTCTTTAGGGCGCCTTGGGTTGCCTAGGGGTTTAGGGTTTAGGGTTTAGGGTCTAGGTTTAGGGTTTAGGGTTTACGGCTTAGGGATCTCTAAACCCCGAACCCCATTTGGATAGTTTTCTAAATTAGGGTCCCTTTTGGGGGGTCCTTTTTTATAAGGGTGCCGTACTATATTGGGGACAAAAAAAGGGACCCTAATTTAGAGAGCTACCCATTTCTCTTTCCCAAGACTTGGAAGCAAGCCTCGGACCTGAAACGCCCAGACGTTGAGGGTCCAAGATGCTTCGTCACCCCTCGGCCCCCACGGCCTGGGCCCCAAACACGAGACTCTGAACCCTCAACCCTGGAGTTTAGGGTGTAGGATTTAGGGGTTGAGGGGTTTAGGGGTTTAGGGGTTTGGGGTGTAGGGTTTAGGGTTTCGGGCCGCTTTAGGTTTGAATCCTGGACTAAACCCTCCTGGACAGGTGCCGGCGCGGGTGCGGCAAGCTCCTGATCGCACGGGAAGAGCAAAGAGGTACAGGCAGAGTGGGTTTAGGGCATTGGGTACAGGGTTTACTTGGAGGTTCATGGGTAGTTATAAGTGGGGTTATAAGTAGGGTAACCATAATTATAACCCATATTAAGGGACTTATAACCCCACTTATAACTACCCATGAACCTCCAAGTAGGGTTTATAATCGGCTTTAGGCAAACACTTGCAAAACACGTCCGACGGTGCCGTGCGATAATCGGCTGCGGGTTTAGGAGATGGTTGTGATTCTCCTAGAAAAACCAACAGCCAACAACATGAAAAAAATATGGTACGACGTGGGATAGGGATCATTCGTGCATGCATACTCAGGCATATTGTGTGCATGTCTAATCTACAGCCAGATATGTTTTCTGTGCGTATGTCTGTACGTGGGTATTCTACACATGCAGCCATAGTCGGATACCTTGCACGTACTCGGAAACCTGCTGGTTCATCTCACATGGCACAATTCGATATTGCATCCCGGACTGCGACCAAATGGATGTTCTTGCCAAGGACTTTACAGGAGTCATAAGGGCTGAACTGAAGTTTGCAGGGGGCAAGTTATGAGGTGCACAGTGCCGGCTAGACTCGGCTAGATCCGACTGCCTTACACACCCATCTCCGCAAGGCGAGGCAGAAGGTTCCCTCCCGCTCAGCCTGCCCATGAGGGGCCACGACAGAGGCCCGTTGCTCTACTGCCTCAGAGAAGGAATGCGGCGCTTGGGTTGAACGCCTTGAAAATCGAGCGAGATCCGACAACAGGAAGGGCTGTTCACACGAGACCCATGAAACCTCCGCGAGGCTCTCTTTGCGAGCCCGAATCCAAACTTGTGGCAGGATCCAGAGTTGATGGTCCATGAAGGAGAGCGCAGGCTCACTATGGGAGCCGTGGAATTAGAACAGGGTTTGCGGTCTACTTTAGTGTAAACCAAGTAAGGAACCCTGAGGTATAGTATTGCTAGTCAAGACAGCCCTAACCAAAAAGGGTCCTAAACCCTGAAGCCAAAACATAAACCCCTGAGCCCCCTGAACAATTATTCTTGATATTGCCCAATGGCTCCTTATTATGAGGATCAGGATGGACTTGAACGTATTACAAACCCCGGTTGAAATTTTATGAAGGCCTCTAAGATAGACCCGCGCACCCTCCGTTTTGAGAAACCCTGAAGCTCCCCAAATAAGGCACCCCTTAGTGTCTAGGGACAGCTCAAAACCCAGTACGCCCCTTGATATGTTAGAGGAAACTACAGGTGGGGAGTTTAGGGTATATAGGCCTTCTATAAGGCTTCCATAAAGTATATGGACCTTCTATAAGGCT